TTAATAAAAAGTTAAATATATATATAATATATATATATATATATATAGTAATTTATTCATTAATCATGTCTCTTAATTTGTTTATTTATATTTATGTAATTATATTTATTTATATTTATATTTATTAATTTAATTAAACTTAATATATATGTAAATAAATAAACGCTAGAGCTGTCATGAATATGGTAAGAGATGAAGGTGTTGTGTTCAATGTTATTTTAGTATCTTTGAGATACTTTAATAGTGTTTATTAATATTTTGAATTATTTTGTATTTTCCTTTTTTATTTTAATTTTAGTTACAGTTTTAGTAATTTGTGTTTTTGTCATTTTTAGTATTTGTTTAGTAGTATTTTTTATTTTTTTTTGTTTTAGTTATTTACATAAACTAAACTAAAATGTTAAATTGAGAAATGTTGCTTTGGCAACTAGCTGAAATAAAATAAGTTTACATTTTTATTTTATTTCTGTTAATGTTAATTAGTAACAGTTTGTAACATTAGTAACATTGTTTTGGTTTTAGTTGTAGTTAACTATAATAACTCTGGTTTTGTGGTCATTTGAACGGAAGAAAAACGAGCTTAAATCAACAAGCTTGGAGAGACTGAAAAACACAGAGCAGATCAGACACAGTGTAAGTGGTTTGTGTGTGTATTTGGTTAACGGTGACTGTGCTTACAGGCGTTACTGGTGAGTTAGTGAAGGTGATTGACTTCAGTTGACATGATTAGAGTCAGATCTGCTAGTAAATGCAGCTGTCGAATCATCATAATCACATTGTTTTGATATAAATATAAACAAAATTAACTTTTGTTAATCATAAGAGTGCCTTGTTTCCATTGCGTCGTGTCTCTTTCCAAGAGCTGGACTTTGATTCCCAATCCTGTCAGTCAGCAATCAGCCGCTCTGATTAAAGTAAACACGCTAATGACACACAAACGCCGCGGAGGCGTGTTTGAGCCCTGATGAAGATGCATCTTCATCATCTTCATCATCAGTTTGATTATCCGCTCCAGCCTGTTTTTACACGTCTGTCCTGATTGTTGCGGCCAGTCGAAGTCTCTCTCTCTCTGTCTGACCGTCCCTCGCCCGCCCGCCGCTGCTCTCAGCCTAATTGGCTGACTGTGGAGTGTCTTTGTCGTCATGGAAACTACTTTAATGTCCCTTTATTGGACATCACGGCCTTGAGTCATGGTTGCCGCGGCGACGCAGGAAGAGGAATTAGTGAGGAGAGGAAGCCGAGGGCGAACCTCTATAATGAGTGATTTCAGACGATCAGCCTACAGTAAGATAAAAGCTGCATCGCTATATCACAGTTCACCAAAGCTAAAACCAATACTTGAAATAAAATAAATGTTGACTGAAATAAAACTGAAATCATTTATATTTCTCATTTTCTTTTGGTTTAACTTGATGTACTAAAATAACTCAAACGCACACTGAAATCATTAATAAAAACTATAAAGGCGTTTAAAAACAGCAAATACTAAAATTAAAAAAAGACAAAAGTGCACAACAAAATTACTAAAGCTTTAACTGAAATGAACACAAAATCAAATCTAATTCAAGAAATGATACTAGATGACATACAGTGACCCAAACCTGCAGAAATAAATACATAAATACAGCTTTGCCTATATGTCATGAAGCAACAGTTGTGTACATCATTTTATTTCTTTGTTTTTCCCCTTTATTTATTTATTTTTCAAAATCATAACACTTTGCCACCGTGAAGCCGCAGTCTTTAATTTTATCAAATTGTATTTCATCAAAGTCCTAAAACTTTGCATGCTTTTGCAAGTTTCTTTGTTTGCTTTTACCATCTATTTATTTGTTTTTATTAGATTTTATAATTGATGTCCTCTTTGTATTTAGTAATGCAGTATGTCGTAGGAAACGTCTATTTTGTGTATAAGGGGAGTTCAGTTTCTCGATTCACGATTTTATCACGAATCTTGGTTATGTTGGTTTTACTATTTTGCAAGTTGTCTGAGCAGTACAGCCAAACTAATTTCGCTACTTTAAAAACAATAAGGTAACAAAATAAATAAACCAAACAGTGCTTTATTTTCAGGTACAGAAACTGAATGAACACATATAAAAATAAAACACTATATACACTTTATACATTATACATTGATTCTTATTAAAGCAACCGTATTAAAGTTCTTCAGTCAAGAGCAGTGAGGGATGTTTCTCTGTGTTTTGTTGTTTTGTTAATATTAAAGGGATAGTTCAGCCAAAAATGACAATTCTGTCATCATCTACTCACTCTCAAGTTTTTTTCTTCTGTTGAACATAGACGTTATTTTGAATAATTCAAAGACCAGCAACTGTTTGAATTACACACATTCTTCAAAATATCTTCTTTTGTGCTCAGCACTAGAAATAAATTAATATACAGTGTCACTAGAAAGTTTGTGAACCCCTCGCAGAATCTGTGAAAATGTGAGTAATTTTAACAAAATAAGAGAGATCATACAAAATTCAAGTCAAGTTTGTTTGTATAGCGCTTTTCACGATACAAATCGTTGCAAAGCAACTTTACAGCAAATTAAGTTTCTACAATATTTAGTGGTAGTTCTGTAAGTTGTTTCAGGGTTGGCATCATCAGAGGTCCTCTGAGGGGTTGCATCATCTCTTCTCAGGTGTTCTGGATCCAGACTGAAGCTTGTGTAAATCCTAGTTACCACGCGATGTCAATCCCTCTGTTAGCTTAGATAATCTAGACGTTTCATCTGGTCTTGTTGAGATATATAGTTGAGTATCATCAGCATAACAGTGGAATCTAATCCCGTATTTTCTAATAATATTACCAAGGGGCAACATGTATATCGAAAATAGCAGAGGACCTAGGACAGATCCTTGTGGCACTCCATGTTTTACTGGTGATAATTGAGATGACTCCCCGTTTAAATGAACAAGGTGGTAGCGATCGGACAGGTAGGATCTAAACCATCTTAAAGCCTGCCCTTGAATACCTGTATAGTTTTGTAATCGATCTACGAGTATGTCATGATCTATAGTATCAAACGCAGCACTAAGATCAAGTAAAACTACAAAATGCATGTTACTTTTTATTTAGTACTGTCCTGAGTAAGATATTTTACATGAAAGATGTTTACATTTAGTCCACAAGACAAAAAATGGAGGAAATTATTAAAATTACCCAGTTCAAAAGTTCTTAATACCTGGATACCTGGATGATCCACGACTGTTTTTTGTTTTGTGATGGTTGTTCATGAGTCCCTTGTTTGTTCTGAACAGTTAAACTGAGCATTGTTCTTCAGAAAAATCCTCCGTGTCCTGCAGATTCTTCAGTTTTCCAGCATATTTGAACCCTTTCCAGCAGTGACTGTATGATTTTGAGATCCATCTTTTCACACTGAGGACAATTGAGGGACTCAAACACAACTATTAAAAAAGGTTCAAACATTCACTGATGCGCCAGAAGGAAACACGATGCATTAAGAGCCTTTAATCAAAAACTTTTTGAATTTGAAGATCAGGGTAAACTGTACTTAATTTGTCTTCCGGGAAACATGCAAGTATCTTTTGCTGCTTCCGAAGGGCAGTACTAGATGGAAAAAATATATATTTCTACAAAATAAGAAAAAATTGGACATCTTCATGCTGTTCAAAAGGCTCTTGAAAATAATTTCAGCTATTTTGTTGTCTTGTGGACTAAATGTAAACATATTTTATGTAAAATATGTTACTCAGGACAGTACTAAATAAAAAATAACATGCATTTTGTATGATCTCTCATTTTGTTAAAATTACTCACATTTTCATAGATTCTGTAAGGGGTTCACAAACTTTCAAGTGTCACTGTAGGTGTGGTACAACATGTGAGTGAGTAAGTAATGACAGAAATAAAATTTTTGGGTGAACTTTCCCTTTAATGACGAGCAGCAGCATGTTTAGTGCTATTAGACTGCTGTCACTTTAAGACCTACACGCATCCGTTTCTCTCTCAAGTGTTTACTTTGAATTTGGACATAACCAACTGTGTTTATATGTAAACCTTGTGTGTTTTTGACAGTATTAGCGCAATCGGATGCGAAAGATAACTCAGTCCGGTAATCAGGCGCTGCTTGACAGGATTTTTAGTGTGCGCGAGCTTCAGGTGTATGCATGTCGCATGTCAGAACAGCTTGTGAATGAAATGTTTAACCGGCAAGGCTTTAAAGCACATGCAAATACAGTACTTTTGTGAATAAGTGCCCCTATTCCCAGAGATGCACAAATTGATGAAATCAGTCTTGTATTTTGGATTTTCTCTTAATGTTTCTGTTCACTCTTGTAATGCGTCTTGTGTGTTGAATATGTGTACGTTCTCTGTAAACCAAGCTTTCCTGCATGCATCATTGCTTTGGATGTGAGCGTCTGTCAAATGCATGAATGCAAATGTGATTCAGGACCTCGTCATGGGTTGTCAGTTGATCTCCACTGATTCCGAAGGCGCTTTTCCCATCACTTCATGAACAGATTTTGTATCAGCTGTAGATCTGAAGGCTTCTCTCCGGAGGATGAATGCTGCACTAAAGGTTAATAGGGTCAAACAGTCCGGTCTGTTCATACAGGGGTTGCTGTGATTCTTCTCCATCATGCATGCAGCAATATCACATCCCACTGACGCGTCTTTGAAGTCGTGGCATTAGTAGTTTTAGCACGGAGGCTTTTCCCATCTGAAAGCCCTTTTAGTTTTTAATCAGAGTCGATTCACTTAAATTATTAATTTTCTTCCCAAACGCTTTTGAGGTGCAGATACGGGGTCAGTGGAGAAGAAAGGGCCGGCGGCGAGTCACATTTAATGATTGGGTTTCAGGAGAGTGTGATGTAATTACGCTCAGGTGATGGAATTACACCTGCTTTGATTAACGAGCCGCTGATCTGAGCATCTGCGGATGACCCTAGACCTTTCCTGACCTTTGACCCTGTCCGTCTCTCTGCTGTGTGTTGGTAGGTGTGTGGAGATCATCGCTAAGGAGGGTCGGAGTCTGAAGGAGCTCTATCTGGTGTCCTGCAAGATCACAGATCACGGTAAGACTGAGATGAGTTTGGATGCGGACCGAAACATGAACACTTCAGGCCGCTGAAGCTGGATGTCCTGTTACAGCTACAGGAGGCGCTAGAACGGACATTACATTTTAACCTTTAGTCTTCTTACACCGTTTTCACTTTTAGGCCATGGTGAAGTAGTAGTTATTTTATTTTATTTATTTTTCAAATTCCTAAAACTTACATTTTATTTATTTATTTTTTTATTCAAAATCCTAAAGCTTTGCCTGCTGTCATTGTGAAGCAGCAGGCTTTTACATTTTATTTAATTATATTTTTATTTATGTATTTGAAATAAATCGTACAACTTTCTATATATGTCCAGTTTTACATTTTTAAATGTCTCTCTCAGATTGGTCTTCCACTCTGTTTGTATCGCTCGTGCCGTGTGTTAGTCGAGCTTCTGTGTCTGTATCTCATGTCTGCAGTGTGTTTCTGTGCGTTCAGTCCATTGAAGCCGTATTAATGCGTGTTGTCAGTGCCATGCTTGAGCTCCAGCAGTATGTGGTCCAGATCATGCAGTAATGATAGCAGATAAAGCCTCTGATCCCGCGACAGCTGCATGTGTTCATACGCTGAATCACGCCGTGCTTTGGCTAATTACTGCCTGCTGAGACTGAAGGACAGAGCTGAGCGATTACGCCGAGCAAACAATAGCTACGCACTGCCAGACGTAATGTTAGATGTAAGTAACTGCATGACGGGGCAAAACTCCTCTGAGGAGCCGTTCTTGTGCTTGTTCTTCAGCTCAGAGTAATGAAAACACATTTGGCTTTTATTAGCCGCTCTCCTCCCACCGAACGACAGGAACACAGAGATTTGCTTCAGTGTTTTTAAGTGGAAAAGCCTTCAGCTGTAGATTTTGGGGTCAGGTTTGTGTTGAGCTCCTGCCCAAACACTGACCACATGACTGGCTTCGTCTTTCCCATGGACACCAGCGCGGAGAAAAGCAGCACCAGTCCAGAAGCATTAGACGTCATTACATGCAGCTGTGCCACTTACGGTCAGCGGGTGAAGCAGCGAGACGTAATGACATAAATAACCTGACCGATGGATGTACTGGACGAAACGCCCATGTAGAGTTACTTATGAGTCTATTTTACCTTTCAGGCCTACCTACTGTCATGGTGAAGCAGTAGTTATTTACATTGCTTTTAAATGTATTTTATTTTATTTAAAATCATAAGTGTTTGCCTGCTGTAATGGGAAAGCTGCAGGCTTTTTTAATTTATTTGATTTCTTATTATAGATTAGTTTTCAGAATCCTAGAACTATTACCTACTGATAAGGCTGCAAGCTTTTACTATTTTATTTTATTTTATTTTTTCATTTTATTTTATTTTATTTATTTTAACAGCCTATTGTAAAGGCAAAGCAACAGGCTTTTATATTTTTTATTTATTTTATTATTATTATTATTATTATTATTATTTTTACATTTTATTTTTTTTTTCAAAATCCTAAAACTTTTGTCTAATCTCATGGTGAAGCAGCAGGCTTTTATTTGTTTGTTTATTATTTTATTTTGAATTATGAGTGAATATTAAAAATAAAGTAAGTCTTATTTAATTTCAGGAGTTTCACATACATTTTATTTGAATGTCATTACATTTCATTATATACTTTGGTCATCACCAATAGGTGCTCTCCAGATATGTGTGAATAAATAAATATATGTATCTTTGAAAGAAGTCTCTTCTGCTCGCCAAGGCTGCATTTATTTAATCAAAAATACAATACAAAATGTGAAATATTATTACAGTTTAAAATATATTTTTTCTATGTGAATATCTGTTAAACTGTAATGTATTTCTGTGATGCACAGCTGTATTTTCAGCAAATGATGTCTGTACTGTCACTTTTGATCAATTTATTGCATCCTTGATGAATACAAGTATTGATTTCTCTGTGTAAGTATTAAACAGCACAAATACGTTTCTTAGGCAGCATATTAGAATGCTTGTAGATCCGCATCGGCCTGTAATGAACTAGCACTAGTTAGGACGCTGTGTTAGTGTCCAGCGGTCATCTCGGACACATCCTCGCTTCATCTCTGCAGGTTTTGGCTGAAACGAGCCGCGTCTCTGAAAGTCACTTTAGTGTTTCTTTGGCAGCAGTGAGTTAAAGTGACTGAAGGACGCACACGTGTGATGCTTCTTCAACCTCTAAAGCCTTAAAACGCCCTGAAATCAGTGATTAACACTGTCTTATACACAGGGTTGGGGAGTAACGGAATACATGTAACGGCGTTACGTAATCGGGATACAAAAATCTAGTAACTATAATCGGATACAGTTACATCAGAAAACTAAGTTTTCAGATTACGGTTACATTTTGTAAAAAGTGGGAATACTATCAGGATTACATTTGTTTCATTTCAAATTAAATAAATGAGTATTTTGACATAACGCTTTATATTTAGCGCTGCTGCTTCAGTTCCTGGTTCTGTTGACACTCATGTTGACTCGCGTGAGCCATCTGCTGGTGCGTGCGCAAATTACACCCGTCTACAATTATTCTCCTCAAACGCGGGATGAGACGCTGCTACAGTAAATTAATCGCGATGCTTCCTGCTGTGAAAAACGTTTTAATGTCTGGAATTTTCACAGTTATTTTGTTTTCAAAAAGGATAAAGGAAATAACATTGACTCTTGCTTTAACAAAGGCTACTCAAAACAGCTTGAACATTTGCAGATACGAGTCCGACTAGCATGGAAATCATCGTTAGCTAAAATGTAGTGTTTGCTAGTGATTTGTACCATATGTATATGGTGTAAATGTTTTAATGTTGTGTATAAACTATATTTATTTTTACTTGTGCATGTTAAAAAAATAAAAATAAAACTGTATCGCCACTAGATGTCTGCATAGCCTTTTATATAAATATACGGGTTGTAATATCTAGATGGTGAAACGAGACGAAATTATTCTCCTCAAACGCGGGATGAGACGCTGCTACAGTAAATTAATCGCGATGCTTCCTGCTGTGAAAAACGTTTTAATGTCTGGAATTTTCACAGTTATTTTGTTTTCAAAAAGGATAAAGGAAATAACATTGACTCTTGCTTTAACAAAGGCTACTCAAAACAGCTTGAACATTTGCAGATACGAGTCCGACTAGCATGGAAATCATCGTTAGCTAAAATGTAGTGTTTGCTAGTGATTTGTACCATATGTATATGGTGTAAATTTTTTAATGTTGTGTATAAACTATATTTATTTTTACTTGTGCATGTTAAAAAAATAAAAATAAAACTGTATCGCCACTAGATGTCTGCATAGCCTTTTATATAAATATACGGGTTGTAATATCTAGATGGTGAAACGAGAAGATTTTTTATAGTTTTTACTATAGTTTTTATTAGTTTTAATTTTAAAGTGACATAACGCTTTATATTTAGCGCTGCTGCTTCAGTTCCTGGTTCTGTTGACACTCATGTTGACTCGCGTGAGCCATCTGCTGGTGCGTGCGCAAATTACACCCGTCTACAATTATTCTCCTCAAACGCGGGATGAGACGCTGCTACAGTAAATTAATCGCGATGCTTCCTGCTGTGAAAAACGTTTTAATGTCTGGAATTTTCACAGTTATTTTGTTTTCAAAAAGGATAAAGGAAATAACATTGACTCTTGCTTTAACAAAGGCTACTCAAAACAGCTTGAACATTTGCAGATACGAGTCCGACTAGCATGGAAATCATCGTTAGCTAAAATGTAGTGTTTGCTAGTGATTTGTACCATATGTATATGGTGTAAATTTTTTAATGTTGTGTATAAACTATATTTATTTTTACTTGTGCATGTTAAAAAAATAAAAATAAAACTGTATCGCCACTAGATGTCTGCATAGCCTTTTATATAAATATACGGGTTGTAATATCTAGATGGTGAAACGAGAAGATTTTTTATAGTTTTTACTATAGTTTTTATTAGTTTTAATTTTAAAGTCATAGTTAAATAAAAGTACTTAGATATTGCTTTTTTGACTTATTAACATATGTAACTTGAAGTAATCCAAAAGTAATCTAAGTTACTTTTATATTGTGGTAATTGGATTACGTTACTGAATACTTTTTTAATGAAGTAGTTTGTAACTGTAATGGAATACATTTTAAAAGTAACCCTCCCAACCCTGCTAATACATGCTGCAGTGAGTCCACTAGCAGATGTTATTGTTAATGCAAAGACATGCTGTCGTATGCAGTGTTCGAACTATACCGTGGACTTTGGGGGAGCCCACTTTTTTCTTTTTTTTTTTACAACCCCCCGCGTGCCTCAAAAGAGGGCTTACAATGACTTACAAAGATAAATAACAGCTACAAGTGTATGCACTACTTGCTTTATGCAAGCACTATATAGGATAAATCACTATACAGGATTTACCCTATTATACTTTATCGACACGAATTGATAGGTGAAACAACAAACAGCCACCCACAAATAGTCTATAAACAAAGCATCAGGCTGTCTTTGAGTTCACATGAACAACGGTTAAAGTTACTCGTCTTCAGGCTACAGAAGAATACCATAATTCCTCCGTTCAGTTAGGCCTACGACATCGAGAGTCACGCAGACCTATAACAACCCAGCCACAACACATAATTGCGAATAACATGCCTTACCTTAACACAGAATCGACCACAGAGTCCAACGTTTATATTTTTTCTACGAATCTTTGAGTTAACATGTACTAAACATGAGTGGAATTTGCACCGCAGCGCCCCACACCTTGATGCTCATGACAAGAACAGCATGTACAGTTATCTTTATTGACGTGAATTAGGTTTAAATCGCCGTCATGCATGAATGAATGATATTTTTGCAATTTTACACGTAATAATCCACGATGATCACATTACACAAAACTGAAATTGCACGTCAAAATAACACATTGTCAATATTTTTTGAGACCAAAATTTCACAAATCACGTTTTCAAGGGAGCCCATGTCTTATTAAGGGGAGCCGAGCTCCCCCGTAGTTC